CCATTTGCAGAACATAAAGTAACAGGCCCCGACAGCCCAGCATGTCGAGATTAACATCAAGCCAGATACAAGAATTAGTGTGGGAAACAAATAGCAGCTCAAAGGCCTTGTCTTGTCTTGGGTTTCTTTGTTTTGCACAATAATCTGAATCAGACCCTATTTACATTGTCACTTAAATCAGAAAGGAAAGGGAGTCTAGTGGGTAGGCCTAGTGGGACACCCTAGCTAGTCTTTGAATACGAGAGGCTAGGGTTGAATTGTGCTTTGCCACAGACCTCTTGCGAGACTTTGGCAAAGTCACTTAAGTCCAGATTTTTAAAGGTAGTTGGATGCTATCCAAACACCTTTAGGGCACTACTTTATTTTTGTTTTGCTTCTCTTCACCCTCCATAAAACCACCTCCCATACCTTCCCAGGGTGTTACGAGGAATAGCACACTCAAGAGTTTAAGGCGTACAGATACTACGAGGGTGTTTCAGAAATGAATAACAATTTTAAAATAATACCATTGTGTGTGCAATGATCGTTTACTGGACCGCGTCACTTCTCTCTGTAGCCAAGTGACATGGCCGCATGGGTGGCTGTTTGATCCTGAAACACCCTTGTATATTTATCGGGGCTACATCAGTACCTAAAGATGAGAAATCCTTATGGGTTTTCCCCTGTGATGCAGGTACCTGTGGATCTAAATGGGGTGTGGATGGGGTGGCTTCCTAGATTTCAGACACAAACTGAGGATGTTCAACCACTTAGGACCCAAAACCAATTCAGCCTGGGCTCAGCTCCTGCTCACTTCAATGCAGGTTGTCACAACTCATGCATGAGCTGAATTTGGTCCAAAGTCTCTCCTCAAAGGAGGCACAAAACTAGAACAGTGGAAGGCCTGGGGTGGTGTGGAGCAGACCCGAGGTTGGCAGCTGTGCGTGTGGAGGTGTGCCATACAGAGCTTGCCCAAAGCATGCCTGGCTTTAGCATCAGAAGCGCATCTGTGCAAGATACCTCTTGATCCCGAGTTTACTGGAATCGACAAAAAGTCTCTCGCTGGCTGCCAGTTAGGTCCATAACAGACAACAGTAATGAAGAATTGAATCTTAATGGGGTGGGAGGTCTCATGGCAGTCCCCTTAGGCTGTGGAGACCCGGGGGGAATGGCAGACGGCTTTTAGCGCACACGGCCCCTATGAGTGCTTCTGAGCAATACAGAGATGAGAGGCAGCAGGGAGTCCCTAGGCACAGGAACCTGGCAGTTAGCAGTGCCAGGACATGGGGAAAAGCTTCTCCCCCTGAAATCAAAGAGGTGGCTGGGGAAGCCAGGCCCGCTCCTGCAAGGTGATGTACCTTCGACAAAGCACGGGGCTCAGTGGGTGACACTCCCCGGCCTGCGTGCTGTGGGGTTAACTGCCTCTCCTGGCTAGAGGACTCAGACATGGGGACTGTGGATGCACCTTGCAGAAGGGGAATGGATCAGGTCTTTCCTTTTCAGCCTTTCTGGCCTGTAAACAATCAGGAGCCGTCCTGCTGGCAGTGCCCTCCCTTGTTAGGTTTTAAGAAGCAGATTCTGCTCCATAAAGTCACAAGAGACCCAGCCGTGCAGCACAGGGTGGGCACCCATGTGAGCCTGGAGATTTTGTTCTGCTTCAGGCTGCCCAGTAACCTTGAGGACGGCTCTAAGTTACACCTTGAACTATTCTAACTTGGTGGCCATCCCAGGACCTGGGTAGCACAAACAGCTTCCCCTTCAGTCCCCCAGCACCCATATCCCATATTGCTTGCATATTTTTTCCCTTCCCTTCCCTTCCAAAGTTTGTTGTGTCCCAGTAGCTGATGTGCATGCAGGGTGGAGGCCAAAAAGACATGCTGAACTGGATGGCTTGTGCATTTTCCTCAACGCCCCTAAGCCTACTTACCTCCACTTTTTGCCTAACGTCCTCTCTGTTTGCGATGAGGTGGTTCAGAGTATTCTGGGCATATTCCATATGGCTGCAGTACTTGCCATAAATCAATAGCCTGTAGTGGGGGAAATCACAAATTTAATCGGAAACATTTGCTGGCAGTTATTACTTGTTATAAAAAAATATGGTACAAGCACAAAGCAAACAGCTGCTCTCCGGTATAACTGCTTAGCCAAGTATTAACACTTTTTTACTGTGCCACTAACATTGAAACCCTCTGAGGTTTTCAGAGGGGCATGTTTGAGCCCGCATGGGTGTCTGGCCACCAAAATTAGGCCAGGAAGAAGTGGAAAAGGCTTTTCAAGTTGTCCACTTTGTGATATGCCACAGCTTGCCCCTTACTTGTCAGATCCCAGGGCCCAGGCATATTTCCAGCCATGGTCTATAACCCCCCTGCTTCCAAGTTTGCTTGGGTGAGATCGGATGCTCAGCTCTAATTAGATGATGCACTGCTAACACTCTGCTGCTCCAGATTGCCACAAAGCTCCTGTTCATGCGGGAGGAAAGGACTCGAGATTTTTCAATTGGAAACCCACAAATATTTCCTCTTTCTGAGCATACACAAACCAGCCCAGCAGAGGGCATCACTTATCCCCTGTATTTCTAGCTCTCCAAAAGCCTGAGCCCGCTTCTCCATTTCAGACAAGAGCTTCTTTGAAGCAGTTCTGCGGTAGGCCTGAATCAAAACACCAGAGCAGGGACGTCTCAGGACTTTGGGAAACCTTGGTTCTGAGTCAGACGCTGGGTCCCTGCCCGGTCTTTATTTGCATAGCAAGCTGCACCCAGCCCCAAGGACTCAACATCCTTCCTCGTTCTTTTGGCGGCAGTGGTGCCTAGCTATGCACTGGGTCTCCAGTGTGCTAGGTGCTGTACAAAGACAGAACAAAAAAGTTTGTCCTAAAAGGCATCGTCCAGACCATTCCTAAATCAGCGGGTCCGGATGATCTCCACCCCCGAGTGCTGAGGGAATTAGCTGAGGTCATTGCGCGACCCCTGGCACGGCTGTACGAGCACTCGTGGTGCTCTGGAGAGGTGCCAGAGGACTGGAAGAGGGTCCAACGTGGTTCCCATCTTCAAAAAGGGGAGGAAGGAGGACCCGGGGAACTATAGGCCAGTCAGTCTTACCTCGATCCTGGGCAAGCTTTTTGAGAGAGTTATCCTGGCACACATCCATGAGGGGCCCGGGGGGGAGGTTCTGCTTAGGGGCAACCAACACGGGTTCATTGGAGGCAGGTCCTGTCAGACCAACCTGGTGGCCTTCTACGACCAGGTCACCAAATCCTTAGAGGCAGGGGTAGCAGTGGACATCGTCTTCCTGGA